CCATTGGCTCAAAAAGAGGCAGGTCACCGAGTGAATTTGGGATTTTAATTTTACGACTCATCTTTTGAACCGTGCTCGTTGTAGCGGTTGATAGAGTCTGTTTCTCTCTTGATCTCTGCTGATTACATATTTTCTTCTGAATGATATCTCTCACTTCTAATATGCTACTACTATTCAGAGTGACTAATTGAAGTCCTTGGTCAGATCTGTATCTGGATATCAGCTTTAACTGTATGTCTGCCATACTGAATTCACTTTCTCAGGCACAGGGCATCATCAGACATTCGAGTGGTTGTATTTCCACAGCAGACGATATAAGAAGAGGCAAAAGGGAGTAGATGCCACGTTCTTGGCTCTTGTTGATTTTTATTCTTATTTATTTTACAACATATAAGATTCAAGGCAGAGATATTTTTTTCTAAAGGCCATTTGGTCCAACTTCTCTGTGGTGAACAGGGACGCCTATGTCTCCATCAGGTGCTCAGAGCCCTGTCCAGCCTGACCTTGAGCGTCTCCAAGGATGGGGCATCCACAACCTTTCTGGGCAACCATTGCATGCCATTGTTGTTATGCATTGGCTGTAATGTTGTAGTATGTAATGTACTGTAGTTTGACCTAGGTTGTGTAGGGGGGAAAAAAAAAAAAAAAGACAGGTGATTAAAGAAAAAGCTGTGTGAGTACAGAGAACTATTAGTGAGGGGCTTCTCAGAGATGAAGGAGGGTGAAGGTCACTCCTGATTTCCTGTGGCCAGAGAGTCTGACCCAAAATCTGCTCTCTGGTGGGCACTGGCTGCTCGGCCTGCTGTGCTCTACTCCATGTCTACCAGCAGAAATGGAAAAAATCCAAAAAAACAAGTATTGAGGGCACAGCTTGCACCTGCCTAACTCTTGGTAGTGCAGAGATGATGGGGCAGGGCAGGAGAGGCCAACTGGATGTCCCACTTCTGGTAGGACTTTTGGGGGATGCTGTGGTTTGAGGAGCTGATGCTAATATGGGCATGACCCAAAAGACTGTGCCAGAGACCTGCAGACCACTGTGGGTTGGCAGATGGGCTGAGTGTTGTCCTCCCTCATCCTGGGATCTGCTGTCTACACTTGGAGATGCAGCATGAGCCTGGGCTCACAGCTTGCTGGCCACAGTGCAAGGCCTTCCTTCCAATATTGCCCCGAAACGTATCCATGTTCCTTTCCAGTGCCATTCCCCAAGCTTCTCACACCCATCACCTGTGTAGAACCAAGCTGGAGGTGTCCTGGACTCCCTTCCTGCATGGGACATGAGCCTCCAATCAAGTGGCTTGGCCATCCTGGGACTCGAGGCATAATTAGAGAGATCACAATTAACAAGCAGTGCAGCATGAGCAGCAGAGAGGAGGGCTGGTTGAGGCAGGATGCCTGAGCCGTCCTCCGGCGGCAAAGTGCTGAGACAACAAACTTAACCTCTCTGTCCACAGTGCTCCTATCAGCCATGGTTATTAAATCCCACAAAAGGAAGAAGAGGAGAAGTGAATAGGGTTGAAAGAAAAAGCACTTTCCCCATTTGGATTACCTCCTACAGAACAGGACCTGCCACTGAAAGGCAGAGAGTGTAATTGCTGGCCTGAAAGACGAAGGGAGGGGGAGAAGGAAAAACTATAAAAGGGAAGAAAGAACGAAGGAAGGGGGTAAAAATTGATAATGAACAATTTATCCTCTGAGCTAACGGTTAATTAATTCTGAAAATATCTGTCAGACTAATGGGGGGTGGGGGGAGGAGGAGGAGGAGAGAAGGCTGCGCTACTGAACACAATTAGTAAAATAATAATAACAAAAAAGGGGGGAAAAAGGAGGGGAAAAAAAATTCTTTTTAAGGTGTTGCTATCTTCTTAGAGACCAGGCCCTTGGCTTCCCAATGTCATTCTCAACACAATATTTTTTTTTTTTTCTTCTCTCCCTTCGTCTCTTTTCAGAAATTGTTCTCATGAATGATTTATATATGTCTAGTTATCTGGAGTGATTTCTATGGACCCGGGCGCATTGCTGCATAATTGTTAATTTTAATGCCATAATAGCTTCAGATGGAGGAAGAGATTAGGCGTTTATTGCACAATTAAATGAAACATACTTGAGAATCACAAAAGGTTCCGTAATTATTTCAGACCATTAATAAAATGGGCATTAAATTATATGGGACACAAAAGGGAAAGGAAATAGATTTTCATTACAGCAATAGAAGCCGAGAGTAGTAATAGATCCTTGTTGAATTCTCTTTCTCTCTCTCTCTCTCTGAAATTAATTGTTGCCCGGCTTATTTCAAAGCAAAATAAAAGAGAAATAAAGTGTGTTAAAGAACCTCTGATGAAAGGGCTTTGTTTGATAAGGACAATAGCCAGTGATACACTCTGGGAAAAAAAAAAAGAAGGGGGGGAAAAAAAAAAAAAAGAAGGGAAGATTTGATTTTGGCTTCTTGCCCTCAGTCCCGGAGGCAGCACGGGGGCTCCATGCACTCACATCAGGACCTCTCCTCCCATTAGGAACAGAGGGGAGGGAACAGGGACCTGGAAAGTTCCCCATCTGCTTCCTGAGCGCTGCTGTGGTGGCTTTGGGCAGAAGTTCTGCTGATAGAAGTGCTGGAGGTGTTTGGGCCATTTCTGTAGGAAACCACGTGTGATGGATTTGTCTTGGACAAAAGACCCAAGGCACAGAAGGGAGCTACAGGTGGGTGTCCTGGTGCTCAAAGCCCAACCTGCAGCCCCAGTAGTGTCTGGAGACCTTTGTCACAGCATGGGGACTCCACTGGGACAGGGAAGGCGGTGTTTCAGGGCTCCTCTTGCCCCTGGCAAAGCTAGCATGTAGGAGTCGGGACCTGAATGACACCCAGATTTTGACTCTGGGTTCGGATAGGTCCAAAAACCCTCTGGTGCAACAGGAGTGCAGCAGCTCTCACCCTTATTGCCAACAGCAATTATTTCCAATGGCAAAAATGAGGGGGAACAAATGATGTCTTACAGTGCATTTTAGAGCTGGAGAAAGTTCCTCTTGAAAGTGCAGGACACCCAAAAATGCAATGAAAAGCAGGCAGCCTGGAGCTGGAAGCATGCTAGTTAGTCTATTAGCAGCCTGCTAAAGGCATATTCCCTAGCATGAGTTGCACAGGGATGTATGCAGATGGGTCTTGAATACCTCCATAGGAGGACATTCTATCACCTCAGCCTGTTGCAGTGCTCTGTCACCCTCACAGTAAAGTTCTTTCTCTTGTTCTGATGGAACTTCCATATTCCAATTTGTGCCTGTTGCTCCATGTTCTGTCTATGGGTACCACCAATAAGAGCCTGGCTCCTGGCCTTTAGATATTCATAAGCACTGACCAGGTTCCCCTCTCTGTCTTCTCTTTCCCGGGCTGAACAGCCCTATGGCTCTCAGGCTTTCCTCATAAGGCAAATGAGATGAAATGCAATGCAATAAAGATGAAATGAATAAAAATAAAACAACTCCCCCTCCCCCCTGCTATGTGCAGGGTCACCAACCACCAGACCAGGCTGCCCTGAGCCACATCCAGTGAAAGACAAAGTGAAAATGTTCTGACAAAGACAAGTTTGAAATATATATATGTATATATATATACACCTGAGGAAAGCAGAATGTCCTCCAGCACCTCCCAGCTGAATTTGGGCAGACAGGGAATCCTTCACCTCCTGTTGCCTGCATGCAGGCATCACGAAGAGATCTGAAACAAGGAGAACCTGGAGCCAACGTACAGCCAAGCAAGGGTGCCTCCTCCCTGGAGAAGCACTGCACTCAGAAACTGAGCTCTGCTGACGCAGCTCAGACGCACGGCAGCTATTTTTAGGCTCCATGCAGTGTTTTACTCCCAGAAGCACAGGGTCTGCTTCCTTCCATTGGCACTGGGGAAGCGATGGTTGAATGGATGGGGGGGTTTGGGTGCTGCGGGTGTGGGAGAAGGAGGTGTAGGGGGGGCATGGGTGTATGGGGAGAGCACTGAGCACCCCAAGCTCTGGTGATGGCATTGGGCCCAGAAAGAGGACCTGCAGATGAGAAGTTCAGTGTGGGAGGGAAGAAGGAGAGGAAATAGATGGAGAAAATGTTTTGTTTTTTTTTTTCTTGGGGGGGGGAAGGGGGAAGAATTAGGAAAAAAAAAAAAAAGGGAGAAAAATAATAATTAAAAAAAAAAAAAAAAGCGGGGGGAAAGAAAAGAAAAGAGGGGGTTGGAAGGGTGAATGCTCATCCACGGGGAGGAGCCGGAAAAGAAAAAAAATAAATGAAAATGCGAGTAGATGGAGGCTGCAGTGAGGAGCGCTGGGCTGCTGCGCCACTGCCCTCTCCTGGGCAGAGGGAGAGGAACAGAGCCCGGCTGGGTGACAAGCATGAAGCCCTACACTGATCCGGTACAAGGAGAGAGAGGGAACGGGGGCTTACGGCGAAGAATAAGAAGCTAAAAGGAGACTCAGGCAGGAGCAGAGGGAAGAAAGTCTTAGGGAGATGAAAGAAGGTCGGCGTTAGAGGGAAATAAATAAGAAGATAAAATAAAACACGAACAATACAAAGTATTAAAGAGTCTCTAAAAAGGACGAGGAAAACAGGCTGAAGTGCAGCAGGAGATCAGCCGTGTCACCCAGATGGAAATAAATAAGAAGAGGACTCGAGACATGGAGTCAGATGGATTTTAACGTGAGGGACGTCCTCCTTCTGCCATGGTATGAGCAGGAGGAGTGGGAAAGGAGCAGCCCTGAGAATGCTCTGGGGCTGAACACCCTCAGAGAAGGGACCAGAGGCATCCCAGCACACGGGGCATCCTTGCTCCACACTCTTGTCACACAGCAAGCTCACGTTTTATCTGTGTATGGCAACTGTTGAGTCATGGCCTGACCCACTGATTGAGCACCCGGGGAAAGGAGCCGGTCAGCCCTGGGAGCACAGGTGAAGGCAATTCAGCTGTGTGACTGGAAGGGGTGGAGCCTGGCTGCACCTCTCTTAGACCTCATTTAAGGGCTGGCTGCCACTAGGGAAGGATCTCTGGTTGGAGATCCCTCCCTTGTGGAGTTTCTATTGCAAGCCTAGATCTTCAGAGACAGGTGAGCAGTTTTCTTTGTAACACCTTTCCATTGTGCTGGTCCCTTTGTTGTTATGCCTCTTGTATCACTGTTCCATCACATTGATCTTGCTGGTTGTTACAATCCGTTATTAACTCTTTCCTGTGTCTCCCTTATGTCCTCCCTGGGGACCCTGTGGCTGCACACTGTGAGCTCTTAGTAGCAGGAGGTAATGTGGGTCTACTGGGTATAGCAAGAACCAGCCTGAGTTTCCTTGGTGAGCAGGGAAAAAGCAGGAAAGCAATTCCCACCTCACTTGTCCCCACTATGCTTTAAGCTTTAAGTACAGGTTTTCAAGACTTCCATGCATATACAGGCAGAAAAAATGCTGCCTCTTGTATGCCATGGGGTATGGAATGTCCCAGTCCTAAGGCAGCTCTGCACCCACCACACAGTGACCAGTTTAACAGCAGGAAAGCCACAGCTTGCCAGCTTTACCTGCTGTGGTGGAAAATCCATGGAAGACTCAGGTGTTTCTGCATTTGTTCCCACGGCCAAGGAAAAGGCCTGATTTCCCCTGCCCCTCATGGGCATCTTGTTTCATTCTGCTTGTGCCCATTGGAAGTGGTCACCTTCTCTTGGTGATTACTGCTGGAGGTGTGATCTTGTAGAGAGCAGAAGCCCATGGTCCTGGATCCAATTTGGTCTGGCATCCTCAGCACTGAAACAATGTTCCCTACGGTTCAGAGATCCCATCCTGGCTAATGCAGACTGGATTGCCTGCATCTTTTGGTTGCATATCAGGTTGAGTATTAGGGAGAAATTCTTCTCTGAAAGGATGTTGAGGCATTGGCACGGGCAGCCCAGAGAAGTGGTGGAGTCTCTGTCCCTGGAGGTGTTCAAGCAAAGGATAGCTGTCACACTGAGTGATGTAGTTTAATGGACATGGTGGGCACAGGTTGATGGTTGGACTTGTTGACCTTAGCAGTCTTTTCAACCTTAAAAATCCTATGATTCTTTTAGGGACACTTCTGGTTGTACAGAAATAAGGAGATCAGATAGACCTTCTGGACCAAAGGAGTGGTCGCTTTGTTTCCAGTTGGATTCAGCTACATTTGAGCACAAAGATCAAATTTGAAGGCAGCCAGGCTGGATTAGCCACTTTTGGATGGGGGGGGGGGGGGGGGTCAGAGAGGGGAGAGCTTTTAGCAGTGATTTGCACTCTTCTAATGAAAGCTTTGGGATTCCTCTCTACTTCATTGACCTGCCCTCCAATGGCTGCATTCCCAGGCAGAGCACCCCAACCTCTCTCCCTCCATAGGGTTTCCCTGCTGGCTGCCCTTCCCCTGGTGCTGATCAGTGAGGCAGGCTGCGATCTGGTCCTCTCACTCCAATAGCACAGAGCTATTTCAGAGCAGCCAGGACCTGCCCGTGCTGCACCCCGTGGGAGTGAGGGTGTTTTATAAAGGCATTCTATGGCATTCCTCTTTTCCTTCCCCCTTTTTTCCTCAGGCACGGTTCCAGATCTATTTCAGATTCCAAAAGGTGGAATATTGCTCGTGCTTTGGTTGTTGCTATTATTTTTTTTTTAATGGAAAATTTCCACAGGAGAAATATTCCTGTTTTGCAAGGGAAACAGAAAATGCATTTGCATCCTTGAAATTTGCTGCATTAGAATAAGAAGTCCTTCCAAGGGAATAGGGCTTGAAATACAAATGTTGTGTGACAACAACAGGGAAAGAGAAGGGGGGGGAAAAAAAAAGGGACAGCATCTTTGCAAACCCTTGCCTTAGAAATTAGGCAAGTTCTCAAGGGGAAAAAAACAAAACAAACCAGGATGCCATTATAGTATCAATCTAGGGCTATATAAGTTAACCCAAATCTTGGAGAAAGGACAAATATATGAGAAGCCACTCTGACCAGAGACATCATAAGCCTTCATGCTGGAGCCACCAGGTTGACTTGGCTGGAGGAACTCACCCAGGAGTCCTTTCATTTCAAACAGGCTCTGCTCGTCCTCTCCAGTTAATGCAGAGGGATCAGCTCCCAGGAGCAAAATAATGGGGTCAAGGTGCTGAATTCCCTGGAATTCTGTCCTCCCTGTGCTCTTGGGTGTTCCCATCCTATTTTGGTTCTGATCCTGTGGTCTTGCCCAGGAGGAGTGAATGCATGTGACCCAGGCAGCCCAACGCAGACCTGGCAGGCATTGCATGAGTCAGAGGGAAGGGCTTTGGGCTGCGATTCCTGTCAGTAAGCGATCAAATGCTCAACCAGAACTGACTAAATGGAAAAGAATCCTGAGCTGTAAACTGGTGAAAATAGTCTGCTCACACACGTGTTGGGACAGTTGTGGGGATAGGCTTGGCACAGCCAGGCTGCCTTCCCCCAGGGTTCATCAGCACTTTCACCTGGGAGCTGTGTGATGGGATGCTTCCAACACCAGGAGCTGGTGAGAAGAACCCACATGAGAAGGAAGATTTCCTTCTTCCCCCCCCTTAATATTTGGAGTCTGTTTTGGGAACCCAGCTCTGAAAAGCAAGGTATGTGCAGAAATGAAACTGAGCTCCACTTTGTCTTGCTGGGGAGACTCCTCACTTTGGGGCCCCAGCTTCACACACAGTGGATGTCTTCCATACTGAGAGACTTGAGGAGCCAGGGCCCCTTCTGATGGCACTCAGCTGTGACCCAGGGACTCCAATGGATGGAGAAATGAGTGATGCTAGCAGAAAGAAAGCAGAATGAGCTCCAGACTGGGGATGTGATGTGTCCTTACATTGTTGCTTGTACCACAGCAGCCTCAAGGGAGGCACTAAGGTCACATACAGAGCTACCTATATTCTGGTAAAACTGTGCAACAGCAGCTGCTTTGGTCTTAAAACCTGACATCTTGAGTTTAGAGCAGGTAACCTCCACAGGTCCCTTCCAACCTAAACCATTCTGTCGTTCTGTGACACCAGTGCAAGAAGCCACATGAAAACCAACATCAAGTAGGGCTGCCATGGGAGAGGAGCAAGCAGCTTGGTAAAACAGCAGAGTGGCCTCTCTGACCCGTGTTTGATAGGGCTGGGAGATGGTTTGAACTCCAGAAACCATCAGATCCTCAGGATCTCAATAGAAGCAGAGCATCAGAGGGGAACTGAGATGTTTCTCTTGGATAAAGGCCCTGGGCTGGGTTTAAATGCATGGGGCAGCCTGATTTCAGTCCTTCCTGGGGGAAGTGATGGCTGGGGGGTTATCAGCATGCCCTGAGTTGGAGGAAGTGTGAGAAGTCAGTGCTGTGCACAATGCACTCATTCTCTCTCCTCACCCTGCAAATTTGTCGCTGCTGATTAAATCCCTTTTCAGAGCAGAGTGTTACAAGGCTCCTACACGCTTTCCCAGGCGAAGACCTCTCTGCTCCTTCTGCATTTTCATTCTCATGTTGGCCTCTGCCCACTGAATAACAACAGTAATTGGATGTGTTTGAATAGTGCTGCTCATTGTTTGGCTGGTAATCAAACAAGTCTCCCATCCCCTGCAACTTGACTGTGGTGGAGGAAGTCCAGACACAGCACCTCCTTCTCCTCCTCTCTTCCCACCCACGTCCCCTTAACTCTCCATTTATATACAGTGCAAATTGCATTATAACAGTAACAAGTTTTCTCTCCCTCCATGACCAGTGGGATCCTGGATGTCCACTGGGACAAGCATGAGATGCTTATTTGTTAAGGCAGACTTGCAGGGGCTCAGATAGAACAACGATGCTGGTCCTCTGTGCTGTGTAGCTTCTTGGTGACCAGGCCTGAAGCTGTTGGCTGTATGAGGGATATATATACCCATATATTTACCCAGGAACAGAATGTATTGCTTTGGTGTGATGGTTCATGGGGATTCATGAGGACCTCTATCCCCACTTGTATGTACGTTAGTTGGCACAGCTGCACATGAAAGTGGGGTCACCATCCCTGGAGGTGTTCAGAGCCATGGAGGTGTGGCATTGAGGGTTGTGGTCAGAGGACATGGTGGGGTGGGCTGGGGTTGAACATGGGGATCTGAAGGGCCTTTTCCAATGTTAAGGATTCTATGTTTGTGAGAGCTGTGAGGGATTCCTGCCTGGCAGAGTATGCTTGCGCTGTGCATCTCCATGGTCCTCCTTCTTCACTCCCATCTCTCTCTAAAAAGGATTTAAAAACAAAAGAAGTCTCATCACCAAGTGAGGCTCGGAAGCAATAGCAAACACCCTGAATCACCAGTCAGGTGGAAGTACCAGACCTGAAACAACTACTTGCTGACAGCCCATTGGCCACATGTGTTCATGTGAGCTGTGCCACGTCTCTTTATTATGACTAATAGACACTCTTGCAGAAATCAGAATCTATTTCCAAGTGATTCATGAGAGTGTAGGAAAAGGAAGGAGGGGTGAACAGCAGACTGAATGCACCTGGTAATTTATTTGCTATGAATAATTTGAGCAGCCTCAAGTGACGGAGATATCTCAGTTATTTATCCTGGGGGTGAAATTTGCAGGTGCTGCAGACTCGGTGTGCTCCAGAGCAGGCCCTCCCTTAAACGTTTGCTTTCCCACACCCCTGTATAAACCTCTGTGACTGTATCTGGAACAAGATATAAGGCATGCTTCATCCAAGCCTTTTGTTAATTGCAGTTTCTGGAATCTCCTGCTGGCGAATTTATTCCCCACAAAATCCCTATCTGGAGGGTTAGGAAAGGGTTAGCAGCGTGCCTTCCTATTTGGGGTGAGTGGCTGAAAAATAAAGCTTGCTTCCATCTCCCAACCTCGTCAAGAGCCAGTAGCTGCTGGAGAGATGGGCTCTGTGCAAGTTGAGTGGGAGGCATTGCTCTGGTGTGGGCACTGGTGGATGTGCCAAGTCCTGCCATATGGGGTGGATGCTGGAGGAGACCCTTTGGCTGTTCCTCTTGCCTGGGCAAGGGTGGCTGCCCTCAGGGGTGGTGCAAGAACAACATCTGGGCCCTGGCACGACTGCATCAGTTGCTACAAGAGCTGCTGCAAAACTAATGCTTCCTATTTAATTATGTTGGCCCACAGCATCATAGGCAGGTGTTGGCGGTATGGCAGTAGGGGTTGCACCTTCCCCACCCATATGTTAATCACTAGTGAAAATGCAGACCTAATGGTGGAGACTATGTGGAAAAACAGTGTTTTGTAGATGAGAACTTGCTCTTGCAAGTAGTAGTATTTGTGGCTGCTGTCTTCTGCGTGGAAATAAATAGGAGGCATTACTTGTGGAGCAACCTACATCAATGCGGGCGATGACTCCTCCATAGCTCACGTTCTGTGTCACCATATTGCAACTGTAGGGTTTTGTCTGCTGGCACCACAGGATTCTGATGCATTTCATTATTTCTAGTGTTAAAATTCAGAGAGACTTTTCCATCAAATATCTGTGCATTTGTTTCCAGAAACAAATGATTAGCATTAGTATTCATTAGTATTCGTGTTAACAATTGATAAAGGACCCACTACTGTAGTATCTGAGCATAACACACAAAATTCAATTAAAAATATAATAATTTCCTCCAGCCATGATCTTAGAATCTGTACCATCCCCCCCAAACTACTTCCTGAAACTTCCCCAAAGTTGGGTTTGCTGTGTGGGGATGCATTTGCCAAGGAGGCTGAGGCTGGAGTCAGGATGCTACAGCGTAATGAGTGGGGCTGGGCTGGGCAGAGTGGGAGAGGGCACAAAGCAAACAAGCCAGGAACACTTTTTGCAACACCAGTTCCTGTTTCTAGCCGTTGTATCTATCTTGCAGCAGTTTTTCTGTCCAAGTAAGGCCACGTCCTCCATCTAGGCTGGGTGGTTCTCCTGCTGTTGCAAGGCATTAGAGATCATCTCTACCAAAGCACTTCACTGATGTGCTTGATGTGTTTTGGGGTCCAGCGGTGACTTTTTTTCTTTCCTTCCCCCCCTACTGGCTCTGTACATCAGTTTCACAGCCCTGACTGGGCAGGAGGTTCGTATGATGCCTCGGGAGGATGCTCATGGCATGGCTGAGGGCCACAGCCCTGCTGTTCCAAAGGAGGAACAACTTCTGCCGCCCAGGAGTGAATGCTGGAGACCTCCCTTGTTACTGACGGGGACCCATCATCAATGTCCCCACCAGAATGTGGCATCTGAGACAGCAGTCCTGTGTGAGCTCTGGGCACTGTTCTGACTGTTAAGATTTTATTTCACCACGACAGACCAAAGCTGTGTTTGATAGATGGCAACTGCAGCCAATGGTCTACTGAGGGTCTTGGATTTGCGGTGAATGAGCATCTACTGATCAGCTCTTATTGCCATGGAGCATGGAGCACTGTGGTCATCTCCAGCAATTTGGAACCTAAACAACACATAAAACCTCCCTGACTGATCTGGAGGCTACCCAGATTATTTTGGATCACAGAATGGATGATTTCTTCAGGGCTCTGACAGACAACGCTTGGCTCTCAGTGTTCTTAGAGCCCAGTCTTTGTACTGGGAGTGTGTCACTGGCAACAAATGGCCCTTGGTGCTTACAGTATCCCAACCCACCTCTGTAGCTTCACCTGGAGATGCTGAGAACAGTTGTGTGAATGGGGAGAAGAGGTATGGAGTCTTTGTAGCAAGAGAAATTGTCTGCTGTTTGGATCTTTGATGGATCTTAAGTGTTATCTGCTCACAGCTTTGTACCTGGGGCTCTTCAGTTGATCATATTCACCCATCAGTGCATGTGGGAAGGGCAGGGAGGGAATTACCTGGTTCTGGTTTGATGCCTTGAAAGGGGTAGATGTGACACTTGGAAATGTGGTTTAGTGGGCATGGTGGTGATGGGCTGATGGTTGGACTATGGGATTTTAGTGGTCTTTTCCAATATGAATGACTCTGACCTGGTGGGGAGGCAGCCCATGGCAGGGGTTGGAACTAGGTGGGCTGTAAGATCCTTTCCAACACAAATCATTTTGTGATTCTATGATGATTTAACTGCTTGAGGATAATAGCAGGAAAAAACACTTTTGAGAGTTTGTTTGCAGAAAACAACTGCTGGATCTGACAGGGCATCACATGTAGCTTTGGACTGATGTCAGTAACCCAGAAGTTCTACTGCTGAGCTCATCCCACAAGCTGAGCCCTGGTGGTCAGTTCCCTCCCCACCTCGAGCCCATCACCCAGCCCCTGTACAGCCCCCTGTTTCTCCATGCCTAGCATGTCATTAAGGACAACCCTGCTTCCTGCAGCAGGGAGGAGGGCTGCATTACCACCAATGGGGTGTCAGGCTCCCAGCAAGGTCTCAAGGTAAACAGTTCAGCTTTGGTGCTTTCCTTGGAAGTTGCTGTTTGTGTTGCAGAGCTCATGTGCCTGAGAGACTGTCTGTGATTTTTATTTATCTATCTTTCCTGACTCTATCAGTGGTTCCAATAAAAGACACCCCTTTCCTTACCAGCCTGCTCTGCACTTTTGAGCTCAGGTCGTTTATCCCTTACTCTGTGCTGCTGACAAGGACTGAGGCTTCCCAGCCATGGGGTATCTGGGATGTCAGCTCTGTGCTGAGCACTGGGTTTACATGAGAGGCCACAGTGAATGTCCTTTCTGTTTCAGAGAGGATCTCTACTCTCCCACCTGTTGTCTTTGATGCAGAGGAAGCATGTGAAGATCTCATCTCCTTCTGCAGGGGCTGTGTTGGGGGACTTTTGGGGCTTATCCCACCTGTGGTCTGACCCTGCCCAGGCAGCTTTGGTGCTCTCTGCCCCTGTAGTGCTACACACTGCAGTGGTATCCCAAGTGATGTCCACTGGCTGTGGATGGTGCCGCTCAGAGCACTGGGGCCATACTGGTCCTTGCAGGCTGCTGTAATTCAGTTTAAAGCCGTGTTGTAAGGCAGCCCCATTGGGATGTTCCCTCTGTCAGGAGGCAGCAAAACACATTGGACTCATTCATGTGTCACCTTGTTCTGATACAGACAGCTTTCCCAGCACTAGAGGTTCCCTGGGGTGAAATTCTTTGGTCTGCAAACATTAATTGTCCTCCTCGTTATTAAAAAAAAAAAGGGGGGGCTGTGGAAGAAATAGAATTGTCACCAAGTTTGGAAAATAGTGAGCATATCACCTGTGGGAGAAGTGTTTGGTAAAAACACCCAGCACTGTAGTAAGGGACAGGGTGCAATCATGCAGCATCACAGCCAGGTGGAAGGAGCAGAATGAAAATGAAGCTTCGGATGGGGCTGCAAACTTTTCAGCTTCAGAGCGTAAAGCTGGTGCTCGTTGTTGGAGCTGAGAGGAATCTGTATTTTTCTGTAGTGATTTTCCTCCTGGAGAATGTGGTTGCTTCCCACCTTGTGTTGGCTGATGTGAGGATGAAGATTGGGGCTGATGGGGTCTGACACATCCATCCCACTGCCTAAGGCGTGAGATGGTGACCTGCTCCCTTCCACCTGCCCATGCAGAGGGCTGCCCATTTCTATGAGTGGTGTTCCTCAGGGCTGAGAGGTGCTGAGCAAGAAATACCACAAACGTGCAGTGAGAATGTCCTGTAGATGCAGGCTGTGTTCTGCACTGCACCTCTGAATGCATCAGTGCTTGGGTGAGTGCGTGTGCAAATATTTTACAGACAAAAATTAAGTGTATATATATATATATTAGGTGATAGCTTGTGATTAAATGGATCTGTTTCAATATGCGGCATGTGTGTGAAAAAAACTTGCTTATGCATTTGCATGTAAAGAAAAAAATAATCAAATAGGGATGAAAACTGCCTCAATATTCAGCCTGGGCACTGAGCTAGTTGCATACATAGGCACTGAGTGCTGCTGCCAGAGGGAATGGCACCGGGGCTGTGACACGGGCAGCACCCGGTCTGAAAGGCTCACCAAAATGTGCTCCTTTCAGTTTCAGATCCCCTCCTTTTGCCCGATGCCCGAAGCACAGACAGGAAGCCAAACATTCTTTCGTGATCCATTATCCTCCAGCAATTAAAGTTTAGGTCTGGGCACTTTCAAGTTCGAACTGCTGTGCCATTCAAACAGTGCCCAACAGGGTTTGCTGCGAGGAGGAGGAGGATGAAGACAGAAACATCGCTCTGTTTGTGCTCCTGTCACATTTCAGGCTCCACGATCTCCTGGAATTTAAAGTTACTCCGAATGAACTCCCACCGAGAATACCATTGTAACGTTTCCATATCAGCATCTTCTTATCTTTCTGCGTTACGATGATGTCATTCGTAATTGCGCTTTCCGTTTTGATGTTTAAACAATGTGGCATCGCCCTGGAAATCGCTGCTGCTTGCTACGAAGTTCCCAAAAAGCCCCGAATTTCCTTGGGGGATGCAACAGGCGCTCTGCTGCCAGGAGAGGCGGGTTGTTACCAATGGGAGTGTTTAAGGATTGGGGCATCAGCACCTCGCGGGAAATCTTGCTTTTCCTCTCTCTCTCTCTTTCTCTTTCTCTCTTTTAACTTCTATAGGATGGAGATGAACACCACCCAACCCGAAACGCCTCGAGCTCCCGATCGGAGCGAAGCATCGCGGCGAAGGTAGCAGCCAATGGAAGCGGACCTGACTGGTTTTTATCGTTAATATTGCGAAGCTCGGAAAGACTTTTTGGGAGCGGGCAGAGCCATCGCTCCCTTCCGAACGAGCCGAATTTTGGCAAACGGCGCCAGGTTTCCCTCCTTCAATTTGAACACGGGATGACAAATGATGTATATATTCCGCTCCCCCACTTCCCCCCCTCCCCCCCCCCATCCTCGAAGTATCCGAGAATAAGCAATGAAAACAAAGGTAGTTTTGTATTTTAAACGGAGGAGGGGAAAACACGATACACGAGGGCTGCTCCCACGGCTCGGGGGGAAGGGGGGGAGTGGAAGTAGTTTCCATTCGGGTCGCCCGCACGTACCGTCCCTGATCCCTCCCCCTCGGGGCCACGCGTGGCACGGAGCTGCCCGAAGGGGTAACGTTGTGGGCACTCTTAATGGGGGAAATCCGGGGGGAAATCCCGGGGAAAGGGGCCTCCTGCAACCCCTTTTTTTGTCGCGGGTCCTCGAGAGAGGCTGCTGGGGGAGAAGCTTGTGGGACTTCACCTTGAGAAGGGGTTGGAGGGGTTTCCCCAGGGGTTTCCCCCGTGCCGGGAGTTAAGAGAGGGGGAGCCCGAACCGCAGCCCCCGCTATGGGGGAATGGGGCTGAGAAATTTCCAACACATTTCTAAACGCAACGAAAAAAGCCTCTGGGACGGCGCGGGTGGCGGCAGCCAAAAAGTCTCCGGCCCCGCCGGCATCGTCCAGGTGAGCGGACTCTAAACCGTGCCCCCATCTTCCTCCTCCTCTTCCTCCTCCTCCTCCCGGCCCCGCACGCATACGGGGAAATGAAAATCATTTATTGCGAGCGGAAAGGAGGGGAAAAAAAAAAAAGAAAAAGAAAAAAAAAAAAAAGAGCAGGAAATAACCGAGGGTGGTTGATGATATTGTTATCATTATCGTTGTTGTTATTCTTATTACTACTCCGGGGGTAGCGAAAAAACGCCAATGGCAGAGCGGGGACGCTCCGACGGGAGCCGGAGTTGCCTCCGGGGGTCGGCGGGGGGAGCGCGGAGGTTGCGGGGCTGCGGACCGCACCGCCGGCCCGGTCCGAGCCCCCCGCCCGGTCCGCATCTCGTTTCTTCCCCCGTTAGCCATAGAGCGGCCGGAACGCTCCGCGCCGGGACAAGGGGTGACCCGAAGGGGACAGTTCGGAGCAGGTTTGTTAACCGAGCAGGTGCTCAAAACCAATAAGCCACGAACAAACGCGGCCCCCGTCGGGATTCGGAACAATTGTTTCCATTTAATAAATATTTTCCCTACGGGCGTTTGGAAAGAGGCAGGCAATTATTCAAAGCGAGCCGGGACGCGGGCCGGCTCCCGGGGTTAAGCGGGGCTGCGGAGCGGGGGAATTGGCAGCGGGGAGAGGCCTCGGCCCGGCGGAGCGCGGTGCTCTCAGCCCCGACGGCGGCGGAGAGTCTCGGGACCTCGGCACCCCCGGTCCGCACATCCCGGGGGTCCCGGTGCCTTCCCCCCACCCCGCTCCGCTCGCTGTTAGCGCGGCAACTTACAAAGCCTTCCCTTTAATCTGCGCGCTGGTGGAGGGGCGCGGGGGGGAGGGGGTCCTCCTTTCCCCTCCTTTCTTCCTCCTCCTCCGCCCTCCCCTGTCCTGTCCCCTCCCCTCCTCTTCCTCTCGCCCTTCCTCTCTCCCTCTCTTTTTAAGCTGGTCCCCCTCCGCGCTGATTGGGCGCCCAGCCGCGCTGTGAACGCCCTGCCACTATGTCAGCCCGCTCGCCGCAGCCCCTCGCCTTTGAACTGCCCCGCGCCGCTCCGCGTCCCCACCGCCGGCCCGCAGCTGTGCCCGGCGGCTCGCCGCCCGCCTAGCCGCCCGCCGGGCCCCGCGGGCCGCCCCGCGTTTCCCCGCGGGCCGCACCGCACCGCTCCGCGCCTCCCCGCGCCCCGCCCCGGCGCGGCTCCCGGCGGGGACGGCGTCGGTGGAGGACTGTGATGATCAGCTGAGCCCGCGCCTGGAGCTCCTCCGGCTGCCCCGGCCGCCTCTTCTTTCTCCTCCTCCTCCTCTTCCTCCTCGCGGTGCCCGCAGAGCGCCCCGCACCGCCGCGTCCCGCCGCCCGCCCGCCCGCCCGCAGCATGTCCAAACCCAGCGACCATATCAAGCGCCCCATGAACGCCTTCATGGTTTGGTCCCGCGGCCAGCGGCGCAAGATGGCCCAGGAGAACCCCAAAATGCACAACTCGGAAATCAGCAAGCGGCTGGGAGCGGAGTGGAAGCTGCTCTCCGAAGCGGAGAAGCGGCCCTACATCGACGAGGCCAAGAGGCTGCGGGCGCAGCACATGAAGGAACACCCCGACTACAAGTACCGGCCCCGGCGCAAACCCAAGAACCTGCTCAAAAAGGACAGGTATGTCTTCCCTTTGCCTTACCTGGGGGAAACCGATCCCTTAAAGGCCGCCGGGCTTCCCGTGGGGGCCACTGACTCGCTGCTGAGCTCCCCGGAGAAGGCCAGGGCTTTCCTGCCCCCCACCTCAGCACCTTACTCCTTACTTGACCCCAGCCAATTCAGCTCCAGCGCCATTCAGAAGATGACCGAGGTTCCTCACACCTTGGCCACCGGCACCCTGCCCTACGCCTCCACCTTGGGATACCAGAACGGGGCGTTCGGCAGCCTGAGCTGCCCCAGCCAACACACCCACACCCATCCCTCGCCGACCAACCCGGGCTACGTGGTGCCGTGTAACTGTACCGCTTGGTCGGCCTCCAGTTTGCAGCCTCCGGTTGCCTACATATTATTCCCGGGCATGACCAAGACTGGCATAGACCCCTATTCTTCAGCACACGCGACTGCTATGTAACACCCGCCCACAACCCTACGGGCGGCCCCCACCTCGGGGAGCCGACCGGACCGGGATTCCTCCGTGTGCATGTATATAAAACCCAGCCGGAGCCTCCCGAAGCCAAGACTCTGCAGCCCGGACAGCCGCGGATGCGCCCCGGGGGACGCGGAGATGCTGGGAGTTGCCCCAGGGCCCCGGGGTGGGGTTTGGGGAGGGGGGAGTGGGGGGGGGGTAGAACCTGAGAACACGGGAACGGATAGGATCCGGGCACCGGGCCGAGTTGTAAATGTGTTTTAAAAGGAAACAGGAAAAAAAAAAAAAAGGAAAAAAAAAAGGAAAAAAAAAAAAAAAAAGCGAATAACAAAAAAAAAAAAGAAAAGAAAAGAAAAGAAAAAGAAAACGACAAACAAACAACTCAGAAAATCCGAAAAAAAAAAAGGAAAAAAAAAAAAAGAACGAAAAAAAAAAAAGAGAGAAGCGCGAACCTCGAACTGCCCCTCTGGGACAAAGAGGGGGGAAAAAAAATCAGAGAGAGGCGGTGATTTTTATTTATTCCCTGAACGTCTCTGAGTTCTCCATGGTCTCACGGCACTTGGATGTGACTTTGGGATGTCCCGGTCCTGCTCTGTTCTTTTTTTTTTCGGGGGGGTGGGGGGGTTTGTTTTCCTTTTGCACATTGAAAGACGAGAGCGGCTGTGTTATATATATAAATCTCTATATATTTTGCCACCACGCACTACTCGGGAAAATAAGAAATTGCTTTTCGTGTCGGGAAAAGGCTCTTCAAAGTTAAAAAAGGGAGGGGAGAAAAAAAAAAAAAAGCAAAACAGAGGGAGAGAAGCATTTATATTTAAAACATATGATAGTGTTTGCTTCATTTAAAACGGATAGTCCTTAAATTTGTGTGATCCAGTGAGATTAGATCTAAGTTTACTTTAGGCAGAGCGTCAGGTATGAAGTCAGGCGGTAGAATTGTACAAAACAAATGAACGATACTGATACTAATACTACTAATAACGGAGAAGCGAATAATAATAATAAAAATGATGGTCATTTAAATATGTTTTCGCGATGTTTTGGGAAGGAAAAACCAAAGCTTGTGTATCCGGTAGGGTTTTTACCTCGTTGAACCTTTTCGTTGGTTGAACAAAGCCGTTCGGAATGAAAGCAATCCGGAGTTGTTCGCTGCTCGGTGTGAACGCGGTGCCCGTCCCGCAGCTCCGAATCCCGACGGTGCGCACCGGGCGGCTCCGCACCGCGTCCCGCACCGCGTCCCGCATCGCTGCGGGCTCCGCTCGGAACCCCTCGGGGAAAGCCGGCGGCTGCGGGAGGAGGATACATGCAAACAACGAGGGGGGGGGGGGGGCGAGGGGAGGGGGTGCATCCCCTCCCCTCCCATCGGGGGAAAGTGAGCTTTGCGAAGTTATCTCCGCGGCGCTGAAGTTTTTTGTTGGTTTTTTTTTTTTTTTTTTTTTTTTGCTTTTTTACCGGTGCGACGATTCTCTTTCTGTCTCCCTCTCTTTTTTTTTTTTTTTTTTAAATTCTTTTTAATTGAATTTTTGGAAGTCGGGATGGGAATTAACATCGTGCAGGGGGACGATTAGCAGTGTCCGGGCGCTATTCACGGGGTCTTTTGTGCAGGGAGGGTCTGTGCGAGGAGGGACGGAGGCGAGAAGGAGCGCGGGGTCCGTCTGCGGGAGCTGAATAGCGGAGCGCGGCGTGTTTGGATGTGCTTTGCTCATTAAGTGCTCTTTGGAGACCGATGTTAGAATTAAACGGCATAACACAATTAACATACATGGGGCTTGAATGGGAGGGTAAGCAGGGGAAGAATAGATAGATAAATAAATGAGAGATCAGGCGAAGGTAAACAAAAGGGGAGAGGAGAAAAGGGCTGAAAGGAGAGGTTAGAATGGCTGCTCCAGCCTTGTTTAGCATGACAAAACGGCTCTTACAAATGAGGACAATTAAAGGAGCTGGCTTCGGGAGGGCCTGGGAGCAGCGGGCCGATCCGCTGGGACACGCGGGCTGAATGCGGCCGGCGTGGGGCAGAGAGAGCGGCGCCGGGAGCGCCGGGCGCTGATGTAACCCCAGCTGACAGGAGCTGTCAGTCTCGGTGATAACACCGATAGCTCAGTGTCCTTTAACATCTACCCAGATTAGTTTGACAATGGTCGGAGGTAGCGCGGGGGGGAAGCGGCTGCCCGCGCCCGCCGGGCCCCGAGGGAGCAGCCGGGGGGGGGGCACCCCGTCAATCCCAGCGGAGAGCGCCGCTGACGATCAAGTGGGAGCCCCCCAGCCCTCGTAAAGATGGGC